CGAGGTTGAGGCGGGGCAACTCGATTTGGAACTTCGTCACCGCAGGGCAACTTGTCGGGGACCAGTCAAAGACGCATGGGGACCGGAAGTTGCGTTGCAACTTTTGCAACCATGTGGGGCAGGGGAATGCGACGAAGGCCGCTCGCCATTTCACGCAGCTCAAGTACTGCAAGATTGCGCGGATAAGAGTTCTCGCAGACATCTGGAACAACACGGGGTACACATTCGTGGACAAGACTGCTCAGCGGGTCCAGAGGTGGATGGCTGACGAGGGGATTCGGGATACGAGATCGACCACGGGTGGGCAGCGGCCACGGGCAGACGAGGCAGAGAGGGACGTCGGACGAGATGCAGGACTTCCTCGATGCGCAAGAGGGGGGCGAGGGCGGGGTCGGCGAGGCGGGGATGCAAGACGAGGCAGCTGGACGCTGCGAGCCCGATCTGCCTGGGGAGGAGGTAGTAATGACATCGAGAGCGGATGGCCCGGCGGGACGCGGTGCGAGGGCGTCACGACCTGAGTTGGAGCGCGCTAGGAGGTAGAAGAGGAAAGTGGGGGAGGAGGACGTTGACATGCGGGACACGGCGAGGGAGAAGAGGGCACGTCAGACGACGATCGACGAGCTGTACGCAAAGGAGAAGTTGAGCGAGTTCACTGACGTGTGGCTGCAGTGGATCTACGCGAAGGGGTTGCCGTTCAACGCCTTCAGAGGGCCGGAGTTCCAGAGGGTGCGTCAGGCGGCGGAGAGAGTCCCCCGCAACGTTCACTTCCAGTTTCCCTCCTACAAGGTTATAGCGGGCGTCGGGATCCTTTCGCAGAGGGGGAAGGTGGCGACGATGGTGAGCGAGGTGCGGGGCGCTGTCCGGCACACCGGTGCCACCATCCTCTCCGACGGAAGGAAGTCGCGTAGCGGCAAGCCGCTCGTGAACTTCTTGGCCGGGGGCGCCAACGGCGCCCTGCTATATGCGACCGTTGCACGTGATGGGTCAGTCGCTGACAGGGCGGATGTCGTGTATCGCAGGTGGTGGGCCATCATCTTGTCCTTTCCTGCGAAGGACGTGATCGGCTTCTGCACGGACTCCGCCAGTAACTATACGGCGGCGGCCCGCAAATTCGCCACCGACCCCGACGCAGACATCAGGAGGATCACTTGGCTTCCCTGCTCCACCCACGTCTGCAACTTGATGTTGTCAGATGTCGGGACGCGAGTGGGGTGGGTCAAGGAGACCATCATCCGTGCCCGAGCGTTAGTGCGATTTATTAAATCGCACGGCGCTGCGTTCGCCCTTTTCAGGAGGAGAAGCCCTTGTGTCACGCTGGTTGAGCCCGTTGAGACCCGGTTTGCATCAGTTTTCCTGATGCTCACGTGTCTCAAAGGCCGGTGGGACGCGTTAGAGAGCATGCTGCATGGCGACGCGTGGGCTCGCATCCCGTGGGAGCGCAGGCTTGTCTCCCAGGCACAGTGGGTTTAGCAGCAGATCCGCGACGGCGAGTTCTGGCGATGTGTTGACTGTGCCATCCGCGTTATGTCGCCCATCCACCAGCTCTTGAGGAGGATGGATAGAGGGGGGATGATGATGTCCATCGTTTACGAGTGGAGTCATCATCTTCTGGAGTTGATGAGGAGGGTGGATGTGCCGGCGGACATGGTCGAGCCGTGCGTGCGCGAGGTTGCCGTCCGCAACCTCCACATGCTCGAGCCCGCACATGCTGCGGCACACCTCCTCAACCCTCGCCGCCGGTCCCTCCGATATTATGAGTCGTTGCAGACGACCACCGACGACGCCCATGTGGTCGAGGAGTGCGACAGATTTCTGCTCGCACAGACTGGCGGCGATCCGGTCGGCAGACTGTACAGGACAGTCCGTGACCAGATCTGGCATTTCCACTCGCGGCGGGGAGATTGGGGATATCGGCAGCTGTCCGATGCCGAGGCCGACGACTGTCGGGGGGACCGCGAGACTGAGCGTTGTGCCCAATGGTGGTTTGATCACGGACGTCATCACCCTGAGTTGCACACCATCGCCATCCGTGTGATGGACTTATGGACGTTCGCCTCTCCTGCGGAGAGGAACTGGGCGCAGCATGAGCGCATCAACAGGGTGAGACGCCACAAGCTTGGCTTTGCCAAGCTTGCACAACTGGTTGAGATTGCCACCAATCTCAAACTGGCCGGGTGGGCACAGCAGGGTAGTGGCTACGTGTTGCCCTGGGTTATGGGGACCGGTCAGGAGAAGACCGTGGAGGGCAGGAGGACGACGAGGGGGACGTGGACCCCGAGGTGTGGGGAGCGCGACCTGCTGGCAGTTTCAGCGAGCAGGACATCGAGCGCCAGGTCGTCGCTTTCCATGCTTGTCGACCGTCCAGAGCCGACCCAGTTCAGGACGTGTTCGGCAAGAGGGCGGTGGAGCTACGGCCGTGGCCGGAGCAGACGTCGGACGCTGATGCGGACGGCGACACGTCGGACGACGAGTGGACGGACAATGACGACGTTCCCGTCAGCGGCGACGCGACGGCGGAGCGGGTCTATTTCACGTACGGCGGAGGACCTGACGACATGACTCCACACACATCCGTCATCACTGACGATGTGTCGTCCGGTGGTCAGGCCAGTGGCACCGGCAGAGCCGGTGCTCGTGGTCGACGACGACCGCGTGCAGACGAGCATGTGGAGGAGCAGGAGCCACTCCGAGGCCTTTGGCAGACGGGCAGACGTTGGGAGGTCAGGAGCGACAGCGAGCCGGAGGGGGCGGAGGAGGAGGCGGAGGTGCGCCTTCGGGATCGTCGGTTCTCTCCCTCTCATCATCGGACTACGGGACAGCCCGAGCCTACCAGGCCGAGGACGAGGTCGGCATCGGCAGCGGAGAGACAGTAGACACCAGCGACCGAGCACCATGAGGGGACCGGGCTTGCGGACATTCCAGAGATGGAGAGGACTCCATCCTGCGCCGGTGTCTGCCACCGCTCGCCATCCGAGCTGCGCACCGACGACTTCTACGTCGGCGGCTCTGGCGGGGGTTTGGGGGATCTCAGTGCCCCGAGACAGGGGGGGTGCCTCACTGTCGGACGTGCTCCTCGACGATTCTGATGTGCGGGCCTGCGGGGCCATGTAGAGACCGCGGAGGAGTGGGATGCCCGACTGGACAGAGAGGAGGAGGAGCGGCTGCGAACTTTGTCGGGATGGGAGGGTTGTTTCGTGTATATGGAGGAGCAGCGCCGACAGAGGGAGTTGGAGACAGGGGGGGGGTGGCGGAGGTGACGGAGGCAACATGGGTTTGGGTTGGGAGGCTGATGCGGGGGCAGGCTGACAGGGTGTCCCCACGGGTGTTGAGGGAGATGGTGTCGCCATGGGTGGTGGGGGGGAGGGTGGCGGCGAGGACGAGGACGAGGACGAGTCCGACCATGGAGACGACCACAGCGACGACGGCGGCGATGACGACGGCCGCGGCGACGGCGACGATGGCGGCGACCACGGCGACGACGGTGGCGACTTTGGCGACCACGGTGACGACGGCGACAATGGCGGCGGCGAGAGAGAGAGAGAGGGTAGGCTGGCTTTGGTCTTGAGGGACCCGTCAGTGCCTTCACTACCTCTCACACGGCCCGAGGCCTTCGCGCAGGCTGGTTTTGATGCCGACGATTTGGCGCGACTCGGTTCACATGACCCTTTCCCCCACACGGGCCGCAGGAGCGGCGAGCGCTCTCCTGGAGGGGCGTATTCGCGCCCGCCCTACATCGTGGATAGCCCTAGATGGTCTGTTTTTTCGCTCAGCGGCATTAGAGGGAGGGAGTCCGGGCCGGTTGATGGCCGGTCAGGCCGCTGCAGTGACGGCGGTGGATCTGCCGGATCGATGCCTCCGCCACCCGCACGGAGCACGGAGGGCGGCGCCGACGCGACTATGGCCCGTGCGCCCGTTGCCGGTTCCCCGCCGCCTGTCGCAGGTGGTGTTGCCGACGGATGGGCAGCTCATCGCCGGGTCTCAGACCGGATGAGGGTGGATTACGACGCCGGGAGGGGCGCCTTCGCAGGACGTTTGTCACCTCGGTTTCAGGTTGCGGGCAGCAGCGAGGGTGGCTCCGGACGTCCGAGTCTTCACATGGCAGGCCGCATGCTCGGTTTGTCTCGATCATCGACGAGGAGAGTTTTGATCCCACCGTCGATTCCTGCCCGAGGGACAGCTGCGGACATGCAGCAGGGTCAGCACTACACATCCGGCGAGGAGGGGTTGCTGATGCCTCGTGCGACTAGACGACACAGCGCCGTCACGGAGGTTGAGGCTCGACTCGCAGCAGAGATCGCCGCCGGCCAGGCTGCATTGTCAGAGGCAGCGATAGACGATTGCTGCAGCGGCGGCCGAGGACGAGGACGCGGACACAGAGTTCGAGCCGATCGACATTGCAGTCCGCAGACATAGTGCGGCCGTGTCCGCGGCAGCCGCGGCAGCACAGGCGCCATACATCAGCGGTGCGCAGGGCACAGATGGTGGAGGGGGCCCGGGAGGAGCGCGTGGTCGACAGTCCACCAGGCCGCGGGCGTCCTTCCGGAGGTAGAGGATCTGGACCTTCCGCAGGGAGAGGTAGGCATTAGCGCCTTCTTTATTTGTTTTTTTTTTCCTTTTTTTTACAGGACGTCGTTTTGACAGGGTAGTTTCATAGTCATGTTGATGTTGTTGCTCGAGGTTGTATCATAGTTTTGTACATGACGCTGTTTTGATAGGGTAGTTTCCACACGGACGGATGGTACGATTGCCTTAGTTTTTTTTGTGAAGTACCGTGTGTCACGGTTTGGTTGACGTTGACGGGTCCGGTTTTTGGCTTCAGACACTTACATATGGCATTTGGAGTGGAGTTTTTTTTTCATTGTCGTGTTGTTCTACATGCTCCTCTTCCACACTCGGTTTTGCATGTGAGTCGCTGTTGTTCGGTTAGTGGTTTGTTGTCTTAAATGTCCCGGACAGAGCGGAAATTGTTGTCACAATGTTGCAAATTGTATCTTTGTCTGATGCCACACACATGCATGTTATGGTTGCCCTCATTGTGAATGTGTTCTAAATT